CCCTTCCAAAGTTTTCCAAAATCTAAATCATAAGGTAGGTACCTTCTTACTAAAACGTTGAAATTTCAAAATTTTTTTTGTTGAGATTTTGTATCCTAATGGTCAGTTAACATCCCCCAAACTGCATACACTAAATTATTCTCAGATTTGAAGCCGAAATCTATGAAAAAAGGCACTCAGAAAAATTAAAAAATTGATAAATCAACCCAAATTGCTTAACACGATTTTATCTCAGGAACTATAAATGCAAATGAGCTGAAATTTTCAGGGATTGTAGTCCCTTGATTGGGATAAAATTCAGTGAAAGTTTCAGCTTTCTATCTATAATAGAAAAAAAGTTATGCCCTTCCAAAGTTTTCCAAAATCTAAATTATAAGGTAGGTACCTTCTTACTAAAACGTTGAAATTTCAAAATTTTTTTTGTTGAGATTTTGTATCCTAATGGTCAGTTAACATCCCCCAAACTCCATACACTAAATTATTCTCAGATTTGAAGCCGAAATCTATGAAAAAAGGCACTCAGAAAAATTAAAAAATTGATAAATCAACCCAAATTGCTTAACACGATTTTATCTCAGGAACTATAAATGCAAATGAGCTGAAATTTTCAGGGATTGTAGTCCCTTGATTGGGATAAAATTCAGTGAAAGTTTCAGCTTTCTATCTATAATAGAAAAAAAGTTATGCCCTTCCAAAGTTTTCCAAAATCTAAATCATAAGGTAGGTACCTTCTTACTAAAACGATGAAATTTCAAAATTTTTTTTGTTGAGATTTTGTATCCTAATGGTCAGTTAACATCCCCCAAACTCCATACACTAAATTATTCTCAGATTTGAAGCCGAAATCTATGAAAAAAGGCACTCAGAAAAATTAAAAAATTGATAAATCAACCCAAATTTCTTAACACGATTTTATCTCAGGAACTATAAATGCAAATGAGCTGAAATTTTCAGGGATTGTAGTCCCTTGATTGGGATAAAATTCAGTGAAAGTTTCAGCTTTCTATCTATAATAGAAAAAAAGTTATGCCCTTCCAAAGTTTTCCAAAATCTAAATTATAAGGTAGGTACCTTCTTACTAAAACGTTGAAATTTCAAAATTTTTTTTGTTGAGATTTTGTATCCTAATGGTCAGTTAACATCCCCCAAACTCCATACACTAAATTATTCTCAGATTTGAAGCCGAAATCTATGAAAAAAGGCACTCAGAAAAATTAAAAAATTGATAAATCAACCCAAATTGCTTAACACGATTTTATCTCAGGAACTATAAATGCAAATGAGCTGAAATTTTCAGGGATTGTAGTCCCTTGATTGGGATAAAATTCAGTGAAAGTTTCAGCTTTCTATCTATAATAGAAAAAAAGTTATGCCCTTCCAAAGTTTTCCAAAATCTAAATCATAAGGTAGGTACCTTCTTACTAAAACGATGAAATTTCAAAATTTTTTTTGTTGAGATTTTGTATCCTAATGGTCAGTTAACATCCCCCAAACTCCATACACTAAATTATTCTCAGATTTGAAGCCGAAATCTATGAAAAAAGGCACTCAGAAAAATTAAAAAATTGATAAATCAACCCAAATTTCTTAACACGATTTTATCTCAGGAACTATAAATGCAAATGAGCTGAAATTTTCAGGGATTGTAGTCCCTTGATTGGGATAAAATTCAGTGAAAGTTTCAGCTTTCTATCTATAATAGAAAAAAAGTTATGCCCTTCCAAAGTTTTCCAAAATCTAAATTATAAGGTAGGTACCTTCTTACTAAAACGTTGAAATTTCAAAATTTTTTTTGTTGAGATTTTGTATCCTAATGGTCAGTTAACATCCCCCAAACTCCATACACTAAATTATTCTCAGATTTGAAGCCGAAATCTATGAAAAAAGGCACTCAGAAAAATTAAAAAATTGATAAATCAACCCAAATTGCTTAACACGATTTTATCTCAGGAACTATAAATGCAAATGAGCTGAAATTTTCAGGGATTGTAGTCCCTTGATTGGGATAAAATTCAGTGAAAGTTTCAGCTTTCTATCTATAATAGAAAAAAAGTTATGCCCTTCCAAAGTTTTCCAAAATCTAAATCATAAGGTAGGTACCTTCTTACTAAAACGATGAAATTTCAAAATTTTTTTTGTTGAGATTTTGTATCCTAATGGTCAGTTAACATCCCCCAAACTCCATACACTAAATTATTCTCAGATTTGAAGCCGAAATCTATGAAAAAAGGCACTCAGAAAAATTAAAAAATTGATAAATCAACCCAAATTTCTTAACACGATTTTATCTCAGGAACTATAAATGCAAATGAGCTGAAATTTTCAGGGATTGTAGTCCCTTGATTGGGATAAAATTCAGTGAAAGTTTCAGCTTTCTATCTATAATAGAAAAAAAGTTATGCCCTTCCAAAGTTTTCCAAAATCTAAATTATAAGGTAGGTACCTTCTTACTAAAACGTTGAAATTTCAAAATTTTTTTTGTTGAGATTTTGTATCCTAATGGTCAGTTAACATCCCCCAAACTCCATACACTAAATTATTCTCAGATTTGAAGCCGAAATCTATGAAAAAAAGCACTCAGAAAAATTAAAAAATTGATAAATCAACCCAAATTGCTTAACACGATTTTATCTCAGGAACTATAAATGCAAATGAGCTGAAATTTTCAGGCATTGTGGTCCCTTGATGGGGATAAAATTCAGTGAAAGTTTCAGCTTTCTATCTATAATAGAAAAAAAGTTATGCCCTTCCAAAGTTTTCCAAAATCTAAATCATAAGGTAGGTACCTTCTTACTAAAACGATGAAATTTCAAAATTTTTTTTGTTGAGATTTTGTATCCTAATGGTCAGTTAACATCCCCCAAACTCCATACACTAAATTATTCTCAGATTTGAAGCCGAAATCTATGAAAAAAAGCACTCAGAAAAATTAAAAAATTGATAAATCAACCCAAATTGCTTAACACGATTTTATCTCAGGAACTATAAATGCAAATGAGCTGAAATTTTCAGGGATTGTAGTCCCTTGATTGGGATAAAATTCAGTGAAAGTTTCAGCTTTCTATCTATAATAGAAAAAAAGTTATGCCCTTCCAAAGTTTTCCAAAATCTAAATTATAAGGTAGGTACCTTCTTACTAAAACGTTGAAATTTCAAAATTTTTTTTGTTGAGATTTTGTATCCTAATGGTCAGTTAACATCCCCCAAACTCCATACACTAAATTATTCTCAGATTTGAAGCCGAAATCTATGAAAAAAGGCACTCAGAAAAATTAAAAAATTGATAAATCAACCCAAATTGCTTAACACGATTTTATCTCAGGAACTATAAATGCAAATGAGCTGAAATTTTCAGGGATTGTAGTCCCTTGATTGGGATAAAATTCAGTGAAAGTTTCAGCTTTCTATCTATAATAGAAAAAAAGTTATGCCCTTCCAAAGTTTTCCAAAATCTAAATCATAAGGTAGGTACCTTCTTACTAAAACGATGAAATTTCAAAATTTTTTTTGTTGAGATTTTGTATCCTAATGGTCAGTTAACATCCCCCAAACTCCATACACTAAATTATTCTCAGATTTGAAGCCGAAATCTATGAAAAAAGGCACTCAGAAAAATTAAAAAATTGATAAATCAACCCAAATTTCTTAACACGATTTTATCTCAGGAACTATAAATGCAAATGAGCTGAAATTTTCAGGGATTGTAGTCCCTTGATTGGGATAAAATTCAGTGAAAGTTTCAGCTTTCTATCTATAATAGAAAAAAAGTTATGCCCTTCCAAAGTTTTCCAAAATCTAAATCATAAGGTAGGTACCTTCTTACTAAAACGATGAAATTTCAAAATTTTTTTTGTTGAGATTTTGTATCCTAATGGTCAGTTAACATCCCCCAAACTCCATACACTAAATTATTCTCAGATTTGAAGCCGAAATCTATGAAAAAAGGCACTCAGAAAAATTAAAAAATTGATAAATCAACCCAAATTGCTTAACACGATTTTATCTCAGGAACTATAAATGCAAATGAGCTGAAATTTTCAGGGATTGTAGTCCCTTGATTGGGATAAAATTCAGTGAAAGTTTCAGCTTTCTATCTATAATAGAAAAAAAGTTATGCCCTTCCAAAGTTTTCCAAAATCTAAATCATAAGGTAGGTACCTTCTTACTAAAACGATGAAATTTCAAAATTTTTTTTGTTGAGATTTTGTATCCTAATGGTCAGTTAACATCCCCCAAACTCCATACACTAAATTATTCTCAGATTTGAAGCCGAAATCTATGAAAAAAGGCACTCAGAAAAATTAAAAAATTGATAAATCAACCCAAATTTCTTAACACGATTTTATCTCAGGAACTATAAATGCAAATGAGCTGAAATTTTCAGGGATTGTAGTCCCTTGATTGGGATAAAATTCAGTGAAAGTTTCAGCTTTCTATCTATAATAGAAAAAAAGTTATGCCCTTCCAAAGTTTTCCAAAATCTAAATCATAAGGTAGGTACCTTCTTACTAAAACGATGAAATTTCAAAATTTTTTTTGTTGAGATTTTGTATCCTAATGGTCAGTTAACATCCCCCAAACTCCATACACTAAATTATTCTCAGATTTGAAGCCGAAATCTATGAAAAAAAGCACTCAGAAAAATTAAAAAATTGATAAATCAACCCAAATTGCTTAACACGATTTTATCTCAGGAACTATAAATGCAAATGAGCTGAAATTTTCAGGGATTGTAGTCCCTTGATTGAGATAAGATTCAGTGAAAATTTCAGCTTTCTATCTATAATAGAAAAAAAGTTATGACCTTCCAAAGTTTTCCAAAATCTAAATCATAAGGTAGGTAGTGTAGGTATGTACCTTTTTACTAAATGGATGAAATTTCAGGATATTGTGTTTAAATTTTTGAAAAATCCCCTTAATATTCAAACTATATATTTTAGGACGTATGTCTATGACGCACTATAAAACGGAATCGGCAACCAAATTTTGTAAATACTTAATCAAAAAACTCTCTTACCCAAATTAAATTCATAAACCCCATCAGTCCTCCTCTCCTGTATATAATTCAAATTGTAATCGGCCATAATGCTGGCAGCTTCCAGTAAATTTGCGCGTTCTTCCTGAGTGTACAAGTGCAAATTTACAGGCCTCAAAGCTGGCGAGATTATCCTTAAAACTAAAGGCAGTACGTCCAGTACTAGAGGCAAAGCTGCGTTATAGCATCGTATATAGGGAGGCATCCCGCGCAGTACTTCAGCTACAATGCCTTTTTGATGAGTTTGTTTTGTACGGAACTGAAACAAACAATATATCTTTCAAAATTCTCTCTGAATAAACTTCTAGAAAACTTTGTGACACAAAATTTATGTATCTACTTGCAAAACAACAAACATTAATTCAGTAGGGGTGTGAAACACTTGATGAAAAATTATTAACTAATTATTATTATTGCGGTCCACAAGAAACCTTTTAAGAAATTGAAAAAAGTCCCTTGTCGTTTTGAGATTTGAGGCTTTAATTTTGAATGACCGAGTCAAGAGGCAATACAATTTAGGGTTGAAAAATTGGAGGCTTTTTAAAAATTAGGAGGAAATTGTGTGGAGTTTGATTTGGGTCAAAGAAGGTTTGTTTTGGGGTTGATTTTAGAGAAATTATGTATTTATTGTGTTCTGTGAGGAAGTTGATGATGATTTGAATTAAATTTACAAAGAATTTTATAGTTTTTTCAAGATGTTAACTTCATCCCTCTTTAGGAAATTTTTCCTACAAAATCCTTGTGACAACAAAATCACCTTAGTTGAAAGACTAAGACATCTCTACGCTTGTTAACAAGGATATCTCCACCCTTGTTGCGTAGATTTCAAAAACCTGCCAAGGCTCAGATGCTGTGATGGGCGAAAATATTTATTACAAACTTTCAATGGTGATTTCAAAGGAAATTGGTCATTTTTTAAAGATCAAAGTCATCAATTTGAGCGTCAGATCAACTTCTCAATTAGTTATTTGGAAAAACTCTAATCCTGAAAGTTTGAAGATGATGGACGAAAATATTCATTATAGACTTTCAATAATAATTTTAACTTAAACGTGAAGAGAATACAAATAAACTAATTAAAACTTGAAAATAGAATCCTTTTCCGCATTTTCTGTGTTATTTAAATCATAAACCGATTCCATCATCATCGTCATCAGGCAAACACAAGCAAAAGATTACAGTCGCCCGTTCCTTTATATTCCAGAGGCCTGGCACACTGCAGTACTAATGAGGTTGTGAATTATGCACATCCAGAAAGCAACTTTTTTAAGTCCGGACATTAAAAAAGATTTCATCCAATAGGAGCCGGGCGTAATTAGCGAAGCTACTTACCCAGTTGACTCTGTTTAGATCTGAGAAAATGCGGCTATTTATTTTCTAAATGGGCGAAGTTATTACCGGCTTTATAGAGCAAAAAGGGGGTCGCATTTAAAAATCTCTTTTGTTTGACGTGCGTGATGAAAATGCTGCATAATAGATACAAGTTTTTGTATGTTTTAATGAAAAACAAATTACCTCATAGCTGGCGGAAGGATACTTCAATTGTACTTTCTGAGGTTGCGCAAAGGCAAAATGCCAAATTGCAAAAGCGAAATTCAAATACCCAGTCAATGAGTAGTTTTGTACAGTGTAAATTTGCTTTTGCACCAAGTCGTTGAAGCAAAACCAGTCCAATGCGCAACAGGTGCCTACTAAATCCTGCTTAATTTTGGAATCTGGCTGGCCAAAGTTTTCGTAAACCCCTTGAGCTACTTTTTCGTGATCCCCAAACGAGCTCATTGTGTTTAGGATGTTTTGCATGCGATCTTTCATGGTGGCTGCTTGGGTACCGCCTTGCGGTTTTTTGGTGCGTTGCAGCTGAAATATTTCATTCCAAACACTAAAGAGGCCTTTTTGCATGTCCTTTTGGCCCACGTTTGTTTTATAAATGTCAATTAGTCCTATGGGTTTGTTTTGGGCTTTGAAAAAATGTAATACTGATAAGCAGGATCTTATGTCGTTGTTGGATTTTTCTGATAATAACATCATGGTGCTTGTATCGGTTTTGATTTGTTGACGCCTTGCAATTTCCATTAGTCGTTCTGCTAATCTTGAGCTGGATGTTTGAGGGAAGTTTATGACAAATGCTATTTGTCTTAGAGGTCTCAAGGCGGGACCATAAGCGTCATTGCAAATGCATATGATTGGTCTCTTGAGGATTGTTTGGGGTTTTGTGCCCTTTTTGGCTTTGACTACTACATTGCCAGAAATGAATTTTACTAAAAATTCTATGGATGTTTTTGGGGCTCCATCGATTTCATCAAAAACGATGCAGTTGGGGCGTTTTTGCTGGTCTATCACTGAGCGCATTTGAGTGGCGTTTTCTAGGGAGGTGCGGAATGCCTCGGTACTGCGATCGTCTGAGGCGTTTATTTCTACTACGTTGTAGCCTGCGTGTCTGGCCACCATATGAGCCAGAGTGGTTTTACCTGGAAGGAAATTTATTTGATTAAACAGCTATGATAAAAGTTAGGGATAAAATATTGGCATTTTGCAAAAACTGTACATGGGATTGAATTCATACTACCTGGAACTTTATTCTCGAAACATTGGAGCAGCGTTCTCATGAAAACGAAGGTTCTGTCTTCTTCGTCCGTATTCTGTTTCTCGGTTTCAAGAATAAAGTTCTGGGAAGGTTAAGGGGGTTGTCAGAAACAGGGTGATACCATAGTGACGTACGAAGATTTCATACGAAAATATACAAAATTTTATAATCAGATGCCAATTATTATCCAAAAACTGTATGTACATGGGATCATTTATAGAGTCCTGATGATGGATTGAATAGAATTCGAAACGTCAGCAAGAGAACAATGGTTTTATTTTCTGATTTTTATAACACTCATATGCAATGAATAAGAGAAAAATGAATAGCATTAAATTATAGTGAAACATATTTTGTTTTTTCCTGGCGCTCAAGGGACCTTGTAGCAAATTGTATCTGGCCAATGAGAAACCTGGAATAAGTAAGACAGGGAAGCAACATAGAAATTCAATACGTTAAAAAGGAACAGAGATGAAGTACGAAAACAGAAATAGTGACACGAAATTAGATTATTCTCGGCGCTTGAGTGGGCTTTCAGGTAAACTTTCTATCTGTCCTACTATAAGAACCTGGAATAAAAAGAGAAAAAATATAGGTATAAGATATTCAATGAGTGTAAGAGAAGGATTGTTTTTTCTTGGACTCGAGTGACCTTATAGTTTTTGTGTCTGGCCAATGAGAAACTTGGATAAGTAAGACAGGGAAGCAACATAGAAATTCAATAATTTAAAAAGGAACAAAGATGAAGTAGGAAAACAGAAATACTGACACGAAATTAGATTATTCTCGGCGCTTAAGTGGACTTTCAGGTAAACTTTGTATCTGTCCTACGTCCTACTATACGAGCCTGGAATAAAAAGAGAAAAGATATAGGTATAAGATATTGAATGAGTGTAAGAGAAGGATTGTTTTTTCTTGGACTCGAATGGCCTTATAGTTTTTGTGTCTGGCCAATGAGAAACTTGGAATAAGTAAGACAGGGAAGCAATATAGAAATTCAATAATTTAAAAAGGAACAGAGATGAAGTAGGAGAACAGAAATAATGACACAAAATTAGATTATTCTCGGCGCTTGAGTGGACTTCCAGGTAAACTTTGTATCTGTCCTACTATAAGATCCTGGAATAAAAAGAGAAAAGATATGGGTATAAGATATTCAATGAGTGTAAGAGAAGGATTGTTTTTTTCTGGAACTCGAGTGGCCTTATAGTTTTTGTGTCTGGCCAATGAGAAACTTGGGATAAGTAAGACAAGGAAACAATCTAGAAATTTGATGGGTTAAAATAGAACAGAGATGAAGTAGAAAAACAAAAATAGTGACTCAAATTTTGATTATTCTCGGGGTTTGAGCGGACTTTTAGGTAAATTTTGCATCTGTTCCACTATCAGAGCCTGGAAAAATAGAGTAAGAGACAATGATATGAGAAATTAAATAATTAAATAAAGGAATAAAAAGAGAAAGATAGTCGCATAAAGGCCGGAACACATCTATCATGGATTCTTCCGATCCGACTCCGATCATACAATCAGGGTCCTTATTCTTGGAACAGGGAGCAGCGTTCCCAGGCGTTCTCCTGGGAATGCTGCTCCCCCGTTCCAAGAATAAGAACCTTGATTGTATGATCGGAGTCGGATCGGAAGAATGCATGATAGATGTTTCCCGGCCTTAAGATAAAACTTCAATGCGTAGGTAAGAGAAAGGTGGAGATAAAGTACCTAGTATTAAAATATGACTTGAAATTTTTGTGTCTGGCCTCTGAACAACCTGGGCCCATCGCTATGACACTTGCTATCTTCTATCTTTTCAAAATCAATAGAGAGGGATCGCCAATAGAGATAGAAAAAATATTTCTATTCGCTATAGCGCCCCAGTCCTGGATTGGGAAGTAAGACAGCGAAACAATATATAAAGTCAATAGGTCAAAAAGGAACACATATGAAGAAGAAAGAGAAAAATATAGTGCCAGAACTTTCTCAATTTCAATCCAAACTTAATATGATTAGGCTAAAATTAAGGTAAAATCATAGAAGCAACTAGGGGTGTGCTTACCCCCAAAACTCATCGCCATAGCACTACCTGACCCTTTAGGTAATATAAAATAATAAAAAAAATAGTGGCGCTATAGCACCCCTCAAATTTGGAACTATGTTGGGCCACTGGGTAAAATTGAATCCTTTTCAAATCTATAGTGAATAACGAGGTTAATGAGTTCAATCCAGGTTTAAGAGTTTTTCAGAGTGGAGAAGACAAAGGAAAAATTCAATGTTTTTTATACAAATTTTCACTATTTTTCTTCTCATTTTTCCCAAAGCCTACTGAAAAGAGAAAAATGACTATATAAAACCCATGAGTTTGACATAAAAAAAAAATACAAGAGCCTGAAATTTCAATCATGTAGAGACTAAAGTTCTCACCTAATCCTGGTGGTCCGCACAACAAAACCACCTTATGAGCAGGCCTGCCATCCTTATCCAAAGTAGTATTCAACTCGTTAAACCTAACAAATTTGTATTTGTCATCTTGCCCAGCAGGAGTGATTTTTATTTTTGGGTTCCTATTAAAAACCACTTTGTCCCACAGTTTCATCCATCTCAGCATTACACGATTGGTGCTTTCATCACTTAAAAGCTCCAAATATTTCCTGGGTTTGTACAAATCTACCCAGAGTTGCTTTTCTTGGTTGTTGCTTGAAATTATGTTGAGTTCTTCTGATGATTGGTCGACTTTTATGAATTCTTTTACAAGCTAAAAGGAATTTTTTTGTTATATAATGTTGACAGGAGGCTGAAGGAGCAATACAAAAAGTTAAACTATGGTTAGACATGAGTTTATTCTCTCTGTATACTGACAAAAACCAACTTTGTTAACTTCTCACTTTGCCTGAAATGCAACACCTTAGAGTTCATGATCCACAATGCAATGTGAGTGTGATAAATTCATTAAAAAAAAAAAACATTGATGGGACTCATATTGGATGAAAAGCTGAATTGGAAAGAACATGTTAGTTATGTAGCTGCAAAGGTAAGAAAAACAAATGAGTTAAGAAATATAATACCATTTACAATACTGAAAATGATTTACTTTTCTTTGGTTGAATCTACATTTTCAATTTAGTATCTCAATTGCCATCAAATGTTTATAAAATACACCAATTTTCAAAATCCAATTGTGAAGGGTTTCAAAGTTATAGAGAAAAATACGTCTTTCAGGTGTCCTATTCGAAGGGGCGTAGCTCCCTTAGGAAGCATTTCTGGACCCATGTTAATAGGAACTTTTTGTCTTATTTTTATGCAAGGAATACGCCCCCGAAAGGATGCCGCTTACTTTTGAATCACCCTGTATTATTAATTATGGGTTCACTGTTTGGGGTAATGCAGGCTCAACAAATACTATTAAAACTAAGTGTGGTTCATAGGTGGATAATAAAAATCATTATTTTCAAAAAGAAAAAATAGGTACCCAAGTGACCTTGTTTATAAAGAAAGTGGCTTACTAACCATAAGACCAAATGTATATTGAATCTATGGTAAGGTTCATGTGTCAGAATTCTTACTACAAAGAGAACATAAAGCATGGTTTAAATACTAGGCAGAGTACTGCACAAGGAAAAGTTGAGCTGCAGAACCCAAAATATACAGCCTGTCAGAACCATATTATATACTGTGTTGGTTTGAAGGTATTTAATGATTTGCCTAGTAGTATTATGGTAAAAAAGTATCAAAGGGCTAAGGGGGAAATAAATAAATGGATAGTGGATATAAAATTAACATTGTTACATAAATTTGTCACATACATATTAATAGGAATAGGTAGGGATATGAAGCTTTATTTTCTGAGTAGAATGGTTTATTAAGGATTGAAAGTGTTATTAGTATTAAGGTAAAGTACCCAGTTGTTGACATGTTAAGGGTATCCTTGCTTATGATCACCACACATTTTCCAAATTTTCAAACCCAAGGCTTTGATATATTTTTTGGCGTGATTTCAAACTCAAATTTAAATGTTTAGATATATTATTTACCCTATATTTCTATTATTTTTGTTATTATGCCAAAAATACCTGAAAGGTGATAAAACCCCAATTGTTGACACCCAAAAAAGTTCACTTCGCCAAAAGTTGACACATTTTTGGTCCAAAGGTTGACATATATTTTTTTACAAAATCAAATTTTTACTTTTAAGAAATTTTATCACGGTCTGTGGAACTAAGAAGTATATTTTTCTAAGTGTAAAATTTTTTAAATGAAATATATGCACATAATAACCAATTATTTTAATTTTAAAAAATATATGTTGTGGTTCCAATATTTGACACTCTTGAAACCAATAGTTGACATGTTGCCTGTATCAGTAAAAACCCTGGTAGAAACTTCAATAATGTAAGAATCAAACTTTTTATTAATAAAAAATCACATTCGGAAACTTTTTGTTGGGTAAAAATACAAATTTCGATTCTAAATTGGTAATGAAAGAAATTGCTTGGAAAGCATTGGTACATTGTGTTTTTTTTCCTGATGTAGCTACAGTAAAACCCCTATTGCAATCATCCAACACAGCAATCATGTCTTCTGGTAGTTCTGGTGCAAATTTGACCAATTTCCATTTTTCATAAGTCATCTCTTGATTTAAACCTGAAAGGACCAATTGTTGACACACTAAAGCTGAATTTATATTGTCAGTATCAGTATCAGTAACAGTAACTTAAAACTTAAAACTTAAGAACAGATATGAAAATAACCATTTCTTAAGTTTTACTGATAAGTTTGTTAAGTGAACTATAAATGGCTTTACGGTCGGCCGTGTTTTAATATTTTACTGTTACTGCTACTGTTACTGATACTGACACTATAAATCCAGCTTAAAGCTCCAAACATTGACAGGGGTAACTGGGGTGTCATCTATTGGATCTATGACTGTTACATTCCCCAAACCCATATCTAGGTTTCTTTTTAATCCAGAGCAATAAAAAGAGACAGACTACAATGTCAAAATATTTTTACCGCCAAAAATCCATAAGTTGACACTAGTGTCAACATTTGGATCACCCCTCGATTTGGGCTCCAATAGTTGACACCCCCCCTTAAAAAGTTTATGTCCGTTATTTAAGAGATAAAACAATTATAGATATGTATTACAATGTATCTTATTATACAGCAAATATATATTATACATAAATTATCAACCCTACCTTAGCTTTGAGAACTTTTGTTTTTATATTTTCTTAACTACTTTCACTAGAAATCTGGAAAAAAGTTCAAACAATTGCACCTGTTTACTACTTCTTGCCACCATTTTGAAAAAACTTGTGATTTCAAATCCATGCATCAGCTATAACACGCAATATAGATCCAACTATACTATAAGCTATTTCAGTTAGCTTATAACCTCTATAAATTCTTATTTTCGGGAATACTGTGCTAATGTGTCAACTTTTGGGACCCTGTCAACAACTGGGTACTTTACCTTACTGTACCTACTGTTGTTATTATGGTTATTATGATGATTTTGTTTTCCCTCAGCTACCTAAATAAGTTTAATTTATCAAGGTAACCAGGTATACACACAGTATCTATTCTAAGCACCATAGCGCACCTTATCTTGTTTACTTAGCAGGGGTAGAAAGATAGCTAAGAAGGATTTACTATAGCAAGGGTTATTGCTGCATTGATTTGTATTCACATTGAGTTGTAGTATATTTCCATCAAGGGGTAAACCACTATCCCAGAATTGGTGCAAACAATTCCTCAAAGGGGAATTTTTTATGTATAATTCTTCAATAATTCCTACAAATTCCTCCAAATATACAATCACAAATTCCTACAAATACCACATCTTGAACTTCTCCAAATACCCCACAAATTCCTCTAAAAAGAGGGAAAATTTTGGAACTTTTTGTATGTAAAGAGGAAGGTGAGAAGCTCATTTTCTCAAAATTTCAAATTTTTCCAGTGGAAAACAGCAACATGAAAAATCTTGGAAATCAACCTACAAAAACTGAATTAGTTGAAAATACAGTCTCACATATTTCAAAGTTTTCCTGGAAAACTAGTGAAGAAAGAAATTTGAAACTTTTTGCATGTAAAGAAAAAGGTGAGAAGCTCATTTTCCCAGAATTTCAAATTTTTTTAGTAGAAAACAGCAACATGAAAAATCTTGGAAATCAACCTACAAAAACTGAGTAAGTTGAAAATACAGTATAACACATTTCAAACTTTTCCTGGAAAACTAGAGAAGAGAAAATTTTGAAACTTTTTGCGTGTAAAGAGGAAGGTGAGAAGCTCATTTTCCCAGAATTTCAAATTTTTCCAGTAGAAAATACAATACAGTGTCACATATTTCAAAGTTTTCCTGGAAAACTCGTGAAGGGAAAATTTTCAAAACTTTTTGCATGTAGGTAAAGAGGAAGGTAAGAAGCTCATTTTCCCAAAGTTTCAAATTTTTCTAGCGAAAAATAACAACATGAAAAATCTTGGAAATCAACCTACAAAAACTGAATTAGTTGAAAATACAGTCTCACACATTTCAAAGTTTTCCTGGAAAACTAGTGAAGAAAGAAATTTGAAACTTTTTGCATTTAAAGAGAAAGGTGAGAAGCTCATTTATAAAAAAATTTCAAATTTTTATAGTAGAAAACAGCAACATGAAAAATCTTGGAAATCAACCTACAAAAACTGAATTAGTTGAAAATACAGTCTCACACATTTCAAAGTTTTCCTGGAAAACTGGAGAAGAGAAATTTTTGAAACTTTTTGCGTGTAAAGAGGAAGGTGAGAAGCTCATTTTCCCAGAATTTCAAATTTTTCCAGTAGAAAATTACAACATGAGGAATCTTGAAAATCAACCTACAATAACTGAATTAATTGAAAATACAGTCTCACATATTTCAAAGTTTTCCTGGAAAACTCGTGAAAGGAAAATTTTCAAAAATTTTTGCATGTAGGTAAAGAGGAAGGTAAGAAGCTCATTTTCCCAAAGTTTTAAATTTTTCTAGCGAAAAATAACAACATGAAAAATCTTGGAAATCAACCTACAAAAACTGAATTAGTTGAAAATACAGTCTCACACATTTCAAAGTTTTCCTGGAAAACTAGTAAGTAAAGGGAAAATTTTGAAACTTTTTACATGTAAAGAAGAAGGTGAGAAGCTCATTTTCCCAAAATTTAAATTTTTTCCAGTGGAAAATAGCAACATGAAAAATCTTGGAAATCAACCTACAATAACTGAATTAATTGGAAATTATAGTCTCACACATTTCAAAGATTTTCTGAAGAACTAAGTACTTAGTGAAGGGAAAATTTTGAAACTTTTTGTATGTAAAGAGGAAGGCAAGAAGCTCATTTTCCCAAAATTTCAAATTTTTTCAGTAGAAAACAGCAACATAAAAATCTTGGAAATCAACCCACAAAAACTGAATAAGTTGATAATACAGTCTCACACATTTCAAAGTTTTCCTGAAGAACTAGTGAAGGGAAAATTTTGAAACTTTTCGCATGTAGAGAGGAAGATGAGAAGCTCATTTTCCCAAAATTTCAAATTTTTTCAGTGGAAAATAACAATATGAAAAATCTTGGAAATCAGCCTACAAAAACTGTATTCATTATTCTTATGAATTTTTTAAAGTTGACAATTTCCTTTAAATTCCTCAAAAATTTCTCACAAATTCTCCCAAATTCCTCATAAATTCTTCCAGATACCTAATTCCCTCTCTAATTCCTTATAAATTCTTCAAATTCTCTTAAAATCGGATGAGTTCCTTCAAATTCCTCACAAATTCCTCTAAGTTTCCTACAAATTCCCCTAAATTCCTCACATTTTTGGCAAAAAATTCCTAGGTGGTTTACCCCTTGATTTCTATACATTGTGAACTATTGCTGAATAAAGAAAGTTTTTCAATTGTCACTTACCAAATCTTGTGCTTCATTCCAAATCTTTCTAAAACTACCCCCTAAAATGCCTTTGAAGGTATTTTCATGTAAAATCCTTTTGGTTTCTTCTTTTTCAAATTGTTCTGAATGACACCGGACATACACAAATTCCCCATCAAAGCATTTGATTTTAATAAAAGGGTATTTAGGTAGTGAATATGATAAGTTGTGTTTGTCTCGTTCATGATTCAATAGATTATTAGAATGGCTTATTGAAACTGTTGCAGTTATATTGTTATTGATTTTATATTCTTGGCGCTTCTGTATGATAAGATCTATTAAATCTAAATCTTGCTGATGTTTGTTATCTCGTTTAGCTTTTTTTGGTTGTAGAATTTCATCTATATTGTATTCTTCTTGAGTTATATCATTTATATCGCCAAATAGATCATCTATAGTGCGTTTTTTAGATGGCAACCGATCTAGTGTAGATTGTATTTCTTGGCTTTGAGAAATTAGTGAAGAATCCAGAGAATTGGGAAGATTTTCAGCTATTGAATTATCAAGTTGTATTGTTGTTGGGGTACCAAAATTCAAGCTCCGTCTTGCCTTAGGAGCCGGCGAAATAACTTCATCATCTAAGAAAATTTGAATTTAAACTCAAAAATATAACCTCAAAAGAAAATTACCATTTTGGTCTTGTTCTCTTAACAATTCCAATTCGTCACCGTACATAAGCTCGAATTCTTCATCTGGATCGGGGAAATCACTCATTTTGATAAAGGAAAAGTGTTTTTTAATAAATAAATACAAAATAATAACAAAGTTAGTTTCCCGCCTTAAATAATTTTAAAAGCAGCTGATTGTCACTTCATGTGCGGTGTTGCCACAATTGTTTTTTTAGATCAACTAAATACAGATTCCTGTAATGTTAGGATCAATTTTTATTAATGTAGAGGTGGAGGTGAAAGCATTGAGTGGAGGGCGAGGCATTGAGGAAAAATAATACAAAATTAACAATAGTTAATTTCTCGCCTTGCATAATTTCAAAAGAAGCTGACTGGCACTTTATATGCAGTGTTGCCAAGTGGTTTTTTAGATCAACTAAGTAGAGATTCCTGTAATTTTTAAATCAATTTTTTTCAGTGTAGAGGTATCATAGAGGAATAAATTAGAAATACAGGCCTAGTAGGGTAAAAGTAATCATAGTGGAGTAAAGGTGGATGCATAGAGAAAAAATTGGATCACCTAAATACAGATTCCTGTAATATAACCCAAACAAATAAAACAAAATTTACATACTAAAAAATTTATTAGGTCAATTATTTTTTCTTAGAAATCTGTTGGGCCTTAAGCACTTTAACGACAATTTTCTGTTCTTCGATCAAGAAAGCCCTGACGATCTTCTCTTTAACGCACTTGTGGCAAAGCACACCACCGTAAGCCCGTTTGACCGTCTTTTTCCTCCTGCACAACCGAGACCTTTCTTGAGGCCTGGCAGGTTGGATACCTCTAAGCTTGTCTTTGCATTGACCGCATCTCGGGATCTTCTTGGGTTTTTTCAGGTATTGGTAGACTAGTTTGCCACCGGGAGTACGTACACTACAAATTAAGACAGTTTAAAGGATTTTTATTGGAATTTGTTTTGAGGCTCAAATTTTTTGAGTTTAGTCAGTAATAAACGAACGAATTTGTTTGTCGTCAAAGTAGAATTCAGTACTCTAGCCAATTATTCATCATGTTGAATTATGATTAGGGGACTCTGTGGACTGATACAGATCAGTATAACACTTGCTGTCTTCTTCTCTTATATTGAAATCAACAAAGAAGACAAGACATTTGTTACAACAGAGTCCCAGCCCTGAGACTTTTTAGAGGGGCCCAAAAAACATAAACATAACCCCAAATAAAGCAAAAATTACTTATTTAAGCAATTAATTGGAACAATTTAACTATTAATAAATTACTTACATACGTCTTCTGTTACTTTTTGTGTTGTAAGACAACCGCCGTCTGAAGACGAGTCGTTGAACCATTTTGGCCTAAAAAAAAACAAATCAAATTAAAACGAACCTCAACGATACGTACGTTAAATTGAAGGGTATTAAATTGCCTTTAGCTGAGGCCATTAAAAATCCTAAATTATTTGCCGATTTTTGGGATGTTTGAAGATTTTAAAATAAAAACACTAACCTGCGGAAAGCAAAACCACGGAAGAAAGAATTTTTTTTAAAATGACTTTGTTGTTGACAAGTGACATATGAGTTTCGTAGGTAAATGTGAAGTTAGCTGTGCATATCGATACGAGTCATATCGATATAATGTATCGATAAAACTCTCGCAAAATTAAAACCATTTTGTTCAAACCCGCCAAAAAACCGTCTCAAGAACGTTTCCGGAACCACTGTGTATACGAATTTCGAATTTTTTGCCATAAGACTAGTTGAGCTGAAAGTGTCTGCCATGTCTGCTCCAGGAACTCAACTCTTACCGTAAAATCTATTATCCGAGTTTAAGGGCCGAATTTATAGTCGAGGTTTCCCAGACCTTAAGGAAGCCTTGGACGTTTAGAATTGACATGACTAACTTGTCAAATAGTACCAAGTGTCTATTCTAAACTCACGGCCTCCAAGGAAGACTCAAGGAACGACTATAAATTTGGCAGGGCCGTAGCTAGAGTCAAATGTGTGATAGGGCATGACAAATTTGACATAGGGCATACACACTACTTGCCCCCCCCCCCACATCTATAATTTTTTTATAGGTAAACTAATAGGGGTAATAGTGCCGAAGGCAAATTTTTCAATAAATAACATCTCTGGCAAGTAAACAAAATGGCGCACACAGGCAATCATTTTTGAGGAACCTCTTGTAGTACCTTTAGGTGGCGTTCCGTATCTTATAACCAGAGTCACCGATCGGTATGAAGCGGTTCGTCTATAGGTGCGTACGATAAGTCCAACTACTGACACTTTTTCCTCTGACCCGTCATTAAGGTCGCACTTTTTACACCATTCGTACCGTTTAGCGATCCATTTTCCCGGTATTGTTTAGATGGTTGCGTTCCAAAACATAACTGCACCGCACTAACGCTAACCGGTTCAGACAAATCGTACGCACCATATGGTGACAGTCTGGTTCCTGAAAATGCGGATTATGTGTGGAACGCTTCGGTTTAGTTTTGGTTTGTTTTGGATTAGCTATAATTTTATCCTCTTAAAAATATATTTGTAATAAGAAATTGACATGAATGAATGAAATATATATCTCTTGTTCCATTTTCACCGATAATACAACTCACTGTACATTATTCCCATATGACACGAGAGGCTTAATAAGTGATAAGCCTTTCGGGATTATCGCGCTTGGTGGCAATATTGTCAATTTATCATTAATGATTATAAAGATTGATAAAGTATTGAAGTTTAGTTCGTTGTATAACCTTTTGAATACCACTCGATGTTTCAGGATTACCTAAGACTTTTACCTGACACTCAACGCGTTACCAGCAACACCACTCCTCCTTCGGAGTCGTGGAGTTGCTGCGTAACGCGTTTCGTGACAGGTAAAAGTATTATCCGGTAATCCTGAAACCTCTTGTGGTATTACATTCGATAATACACTTCGAAAGCGGAAGAAAAACGAAAAAACTGAAATATTATCACCTAACCTAACAAACAAATGTCAGAAATTGAAAACAAACCGAAACAACCAAAGCTTGGCAAATTGCCTTAGTAACAGCGTCATAAAAACAAGCAAGCAAAGCTTTTTGATCGGTAGGGTTTTTCAGGAACCGCATTTCATAACCTAACCAGATTTCAGGAGTGGTTAGATTACGGAACGGGGACCGGAAAAACCAAGAATCTTGGTTAACTTACGGAACGCCGCCTTAATAACTGCACCTTTTTTAGGCCTATACATTATCTACTCTTACTTAAGCCTAAGAAACCTGAATGCATGTTATTTTTTAAAGGTAGGGCATCATCATTTGAAAGATAGGGCATTGCCCCCCAATGTCCCCCCCTGGCTACGGCCCTAAAATTTGACCATAAAACACTCAACAGGACATAAAAACGGATTCATTAACGTTAAAAATCACCTTCTCTACATTTAAAATCGACGAAAAAATTAACTGTAGTTACCTACTGTGTCTGAATCGCAAGCAATCCATCAAGGTCTGCGGGTGACGTCCGTAGTAAGGTCAGTGCCGTAGTATCAAATGCTGATAGTGGTGACGTCATTTGCAGACCTGCTGTCGAATCGAGAATCGGCGAACGATTCTTGCCATTATCTAACGTCATTCGTTAATAGCGCAAATGCTATTGCTTTTACCTACGAGCGTGCGGAAAGTGCACTTTACCGCACTTATTTGCAAGTAGAAAGCAGCACTTTACTGCACATGCGGTAACACTATATGCGATACTTTATCGCATAGTGTGCCGTAAAATAGACTTTGGTAAATTATCACTTTCGGCATTTGTTAGACAAATAACTATTAAATGATCAGGACATTCATATTTTTTCTATCCCAGGCTTTTGAATTATCTATAGGCCTGTTTCTGCAGAAATCACAAGCCAGTCAGAGTGAATTTCATTGGTTGAAACTAGTTTCCTGACTGTTTCTGACTGTTTTCAGCCAATGAAATTCGCTCTGACTCGTTTGTGATTGCTGCAGAAACAGACCTTCTATTAAGAGAAATTTAGAAGAAAACGAAGATTCTAGAGCCGGGAATAGACAGAAATTGAGACGGAAAAACTCAGAATTGAATAGAGAAGAAACATAGAGAAAAATTAAGATAAAATGGTAAATAAGGGGAAATTTATGTTTTTTCTTTTCCAGGCTCTTGAATTTTCTCTACTTAGAGAAATTTGGAAAAAAAATTTAAATTCAAGAGCCGGGAATAGACAGAAATCGAGACGGAAAAACTCAGTACCTATTAGATAAAGAAGAAACAGAAAAATGGTAAATAAGGGGGCATTCATCATATCTTCTCTATGATTCCAGGCTCTTGAATTAAATACAGGGACATTTATGTCTTTTCTATTCCAGGCTCTTGAATTTACTTTATTTAGAGAAATTTAGAAAAAACGAAGATTCAAGAGCTGGGACAGAAATTGAGACGAAAAAACTCAGAAATGAATAGAAAAGAAACATAGAAAAATTGAGATAAAATGGTAAGGGGACATTCGTGTCTTTTAATACTATTCCAAGCTCTTGAATTTTCTGTATCTAGAAAAATTTAGATGGAAACGAAAATTCAAGAATCGAGAATAGACAGAAATTGAGACAGAAAAACTCAAAATTAATAAATAGAGAAGAAACATAGAGAAATTGAGCCAAAATGGTAAATAAGGGGACATTTATGTCTTTTCTATTCCAGGCTCTTGAATTTTTTCGTTCATGTCTTTTTTATTCCAGGCTCTTGAATTTCCACATTTCCACCCTAATTCCCACACGTGTTATTAGAAATTATAGACAGGACCAAAATATACAGTTTAGGGAACTTCACTTGACTTGCAAACTACTTTGAAGATGGTTTAAGGGGGCGAAACTAATAATTGTGATTCATCAAAAAAAGGGTTTTTGTGAAAATATAGACATTTCCACCCTAGTCTCGAGTACAAATGTTATTGGAAATTATAGGCAGGACCAAAATACACCGTTTAGGGTACCTCACTTGACTTGCAGATTACTTTGAATAAGGTGGTTTAAGGGGGTAAAGCTAGAAAAATGTGAAAGAAAACGAAAATTCAAGAGCCGGGAATAGACAGAAATTGAGACGGAAAAACTCAGAATTAAATAGAGAGGAAACATAGACAAATTGAGACAAATAAATGGTAACATAAGGGAACATTCATGTCTTTTCTATTCCAAATTATTGAATTTTCTCTGTTTAGAGAAATGTAGGAGAAAACGAAAATTTAAGAACTGTCTGGGTTTCCATAAGGATTTTTCGGAATTCAGGACAAAGGAATCAAGAAATCCGGACTTTGCCGAAATAGCTATTTATGTAACAAGTGTGTAAAGTGAAAGGGTAATGCGATAAAATTCACATTCGTGAAAAAAGGTTCACTTCACACACGTATTGCTTATTATTATACAAATATTTTTCTACTACCAGGGTCGATCCTAGCAGGTGTGCAGCGCATGCCCCGCACGCGGGCGGCCAAATCTAGGGGCGGCCGCAGGCCGCCCATAGTTCTGTCATTCAAGATTCAAATGAAACTTTTCACGAATTTCTCGAAATAAAACTACTTCTAATAAAGAAATGAGCTGAAGATTAAAAAACCCCTGGAAAATAGAAAGTTTAGTGCACAGTTAGTTTGATGGTTCCTTAAACTCTTTATACATCCTTCATTGGATGGCAAATTTTTGTATATTATCTCAATAAATACTTCTGCTTTGTTTTTTTTAAATGTTTATTTTTGTTCGTGATCTGCAAGAATAAATATTAACTATCCAACAGCACTAGGTGAATAGTTCGCTAATAATTTAACCAACTTTTGTGGTCCCAAGTTCAGGTGGGTATGTTGTGTAGGTAAGTATTACGACTAAGGACTGGGGTATCTTTGGTTTTTCCACTGGGCCCTTTTTCTAATATCGGACCTAAGCCCAAGCCCAGGCCCTACTTAGTTTTAAGATAATATCTGTCATCATTGATCACCACTCACACGCATTCAAACAACTCATAGAAAACAAATATATTCAATACAAGATTTTTTTGGACTTGAAACGTCCAAAAACATTCATTTTGAGGCTCGAAATGACCGGCTTTGGGCGTGGCACCTAAGAAAAAACTTTTGCCTCCGGCGGCGCCTGCGGTAGGCTACCACTGCCAGGGCCTGCATATGGACGAATAGGAGGACTATCTCTATGGGGCGACAATCACATGAGTGAAAAAAGGTGCTTTACGCACGTATTGCATACAATTTTTTTTCTACTACCAATCAAATATGTATAAAAAAATAAATTTAAACAAATTCTTCACGCACTAGTGCGTAAAAGTATTTCCACTTTACGCTCTAGTGCGTGAAGTAATTTACCAGAAAAAATAGTAATTTGACAGGTCGACATCTGTCATTGACATTACTTTACGCACTAGTGTGTAAAGTGAACTACTTCACGCACTAGTGCGTAAAGAGAAATTTTACGTCTTCTGAATAGTGCGTAAAGTGAGTACTTTACGCACGGTAGTAGAAAAATTAATTTTTCTACTAGGTACCGTACCTAAAGTACTCACTACTCACTATTCAAAAGACGTACAATTTCACTTC